GAGCGCCATCGGCAGGGGGGGGGCTCGGCCGCCGCGCAAAGGCCCTTGACACGAACACATTCAGGAAACCACGGTACTTTTCCACGTCTCTTTTCTCCTCGTGTCAAGAAAAGCCAGCCGGGCTCGAATTTAGCGAGTGTGGTTAGTTCTTGTGGCACCTTGGCCCGCGAGGGATATCGTTTAAAGCCCCTGGATAGCGGTTGGACCTTCCTCCTCCCCCCTCGGCCGCGCGCAAAGGGGGGTGGTAGTGCAGTCGGGGCGCTGAGGAAGTAACCCTTTTCGTTGGGGGGGGCTCGGTGTTCCTTAGTTGTTTTGCAGCTTGCCTCAGGTTTTCCTCATGTTTTCGATGGGAAATCGGAGTTAAACTTGTGGGAGAAAAGGGGCTCGGCCGCGCGCAAAGGCTTGGCACCGCTCGGGCGTGTGCATGTTTCCTTCGGCGGGGACCATCGAGGAGCATCCTTGATCGTTTGGCGAAGAAGCCACGCACGAAGCGGAGAAAAAACACAGGGAATGGGCGTCCGAGCGATGGCGAGAAGGGGAGTGGTATTGTGTCGGGCGTGTCCCCAATACACGGGGGATTGTCGACGATAAATGAAAGATAACCCAAAAATGCCCCCAGAAGGTCAAATAAGAGATACCCCAAAAATGCCCCCAGATGGGGTCCGAGTAGATGGTGTCGGTGGATCGCGCCGCATCGGCGATGCACCGGCGATGCGGCTCGATGTGGAGCCCGATTTGCTTCACGTCGACGTCGCCGATGCATCGCCCACGTCGGCGATGCATCGCCAGTGCATCGCCGATGCATCGCCCATACATCGCCGATGCATCGCCGATGTATCGGCGATGCGGCGCGATCCGCCGACCCCATCTACTCGGACCCCATCTAGGAGGCCTCTACCTACAGGGGGATTTTCGACGAAAAAGAAAAAATACCCCAAACAATGCCCCCAGAAGGTAGAAAAAGACTCAAAACATAGTCCCCATACTATTTGTTTGGATTTGTTTTGATTATTTTTGGGGTATGTTTTATTTTTTTGGTCAAAAATCCCCCTGTATGGAGGACAAGCCCGATTTAAGGGTGGTATCGGAACGAAGAATGACATGAACATAAAAACTCGGAGGTCCGCGCGGATTTCTCGAATCCGCGCTGGGCCCCCCTCCCTGGCGCGCGGAGCGCGCCAGGGGCGGCGCCGGAGGCACCGCCAGGGGGGTGGGGGGAGGGCGGGAAGGCTTATTAGAAGCACCCCTGCTTCTTAGAAGCGGCGGGCTTGTCTGTAGACGTGAGGCCCGCGCCTTTAAGAAGCAGCCTTCTTCTAAGAAGCCTTCCCCCCTCCATCCACCCCCTTGTGCGCGCCGCCAAGGGGAGCTCGCCGCCCACTCCCCCCCCCCCCCCCCCCGGAGGCCCGTTTTCTCGAAGGACGCGTCAGGGGGGGGGCGACACCCATCTGTCGTTGAGAGTAGCTGTTTTTGGAGTCCCAGATTCCAATCTGATTTAAACGCCTTCCTGCTTCAATGATCGAGTGGCTTCACCTTTTCCCGCCCTCCTTATGGGGCGGGCGGACACCCAATCTACTTTCACCGCCCTCCTCCGCCCGCCCCCCGCCATCCCCCCCCCGCCCCCCCCCTGGCCCGTTTTCGGACGTCTTCGTCGGCTCCCGCGCCTCGATACGCCCGCTTTGCAACTCAACACGTGTACCGTTCTTGAAGACGTCCGTGTCAATACGCTGCGTGCTGGCTCAGCGTATTGACCCACGCTTTGGCGAACGGATCGCGTCATACCTACGTTCCCAGACCCCCGACGTCGTGATTTTTTCACGACGTCGACCCCCAGAGGTCTGGAACCCTTTCCCCAGGACCGGTTTTTCATCCCGAGTCGTTTTTTGACGGTCTCGAGGCCCTCGAGGACTTCCAGAGGGCGAATCGGGAGCCTTGAGACGGGGGTCAACGCAAACGGGGGTCCGCCAGAGCGCCCCGACCTCGCAGGATCCTGCAGGGCCAGGGTCGCATTGACCCGGGTTTGGGTGCAGGATCCTGCAGGATCTTGCAGGATCATTCGCATTGACCCAGGTTTGGGCACAGGATTTTGCAGGATTCTGCCAGGCCTGACTGACCCGGGTCTGGATTGACCCGGGTCAAAGGACCCCCGAGCGAAAATAGCGAAAAGCCTTCCGTCGTGACTTTTTCACGACGCGAGGGGGTCTGGGTTCTCAGCCGTCGTGCGGAGCTCCTCCTCCTCCTCCTCCTCCTCCTCCTCCTCCTCCTCGTCCTCCCTCCTCCTCCTCCTCCTCCTCCTCCTCCTCCTCCTCCTCCTCCTCCTCCTCCTCCTCCTCCTCCGCGAGGGTACGCCACGTGCTGCGTGCGGCGCCTCGGGGCGCACTGCGCCCGGCCGCGCGCCCGCCCCCGGGGTCCTGCTCTCTCCAGCGGCCGCGCCCCGCCAGGAGCGCTATATACTCTCCGGGGGTGCCCGAGTCGTCCCGCCCGGCCGCCGGAGAGGCCGGAGTTTTGTCAGAGCCACGAATCATCAGTCTGGACGCCCGAAATGGGTACTGAAAGAATGGGTACAATACCCAACAACAATTCCTGTTCATTCTGAACAGGCCTCGCTGTCCACGCCGCCGCGGCCTGTGTCCATTCGAGACAGGAGGCCGCTCGCCCAACAGCGGCCGCTGTTGGTTTGGGACAACATTTGCTGTTGGGCATAGTACCCATTTTTTCGGTACCCATTTCGGGCGTCCAAAGTCCCGCCCGGCCGCCGGAGAGGCCGGAGTTCTGCCAGAGCCCCGAATCATCAGGGGTAACTCGGGTCAGGGTGCCCCGAATCATCAGGGGTAACTCGGGTCAGGGCTAACTCCGGTTCCTTTTTCGAGAATCCGAGCCCGAGTTGCCCGGGGCCCGAGTTGCCCCGGATAACTCGGGCGTCCAGAGCCCCACATCATCAGGGGTAACTCGGGTCAGGGCTAACTCGGGTTCCTTTTTCGGGAATCCGAGCCCGAGTTGCCCTGGGCCCGAGCTACCCCGGATAACTCGGGCGTCCAGAGCCCCACATCATCAGGGGTAACTCGGGGCAGGGCTAACTCGGGTTCATTTTTCGAGAATCCGAACCCGAGTTGCCCTGGGCCCGAGTTACCCCGGATAACTCGGGCGTCCAGAGCCCCACATCATCGGGGGTAACTCGGGTCAGGGCTAACTCGGGTTCCTTTTTCGGGGATCCAAACCCGAGTTACCCCGGACCCGAGTTACCCCGGATAACTCGGGCGCCCAATTCTGACACGACCCGAAAGCAAGGGCGCCCTCGAGGGCGCGAAGGTATTCGCGGTTCGCGCTTTGCGGTTCGGCTCCGATTCCTCCTCGTCCTCTTTTCCCCTGGGAGGCGGCGCGGGGGCGCGAAGTGATTCGCACTTCGCGGAGTGCGAAGCGCGAAGTTGGGAGCTCTTGGAAAGCCAGCGGGGGGGAGGGGCGGAGGGGGAGGGCGTCGTTAGCCTTCAGTCGGGCGTGTCCCTCTACAAGAGGAATTTTCGAAAATACAAGAAGAACCGTCGGGGGACGATGTGTGAACTATGTTTGATCCTTTTTTTGCAGTTTCTCATTCTTCGGCCCAAGTCCGCCTGAAGGAGGACTTGCCCGACCTAACGTTCGCCGTTCGAGAAGGAGGACAAAAGTGGTGGGTGGTAACTGGCACCTCTAGTTGCAGGTGGTGGCACATGTGCCTTGGGGTGGAGGTACGCCCCCCCCCCCCCCACGTTTAAGTCGGGCATGTCCCTCTACGCGAGGAATAGACAAGAGTAGTAAAACATAGTCAGGGGACGATTTTTTGATTATGTTTGAATATTTTGGTATATTTTTAGAGTGTTTTTCGGCCAACAACTGCCTGTAGAGGCCCCTCCTCCATTTCCCCCTCCCCTTCCCCATCCTCCTCCTCCTCCTCCTCCTCCTCCTCCTCCTCCTCCTCTTTCTTCTCCTCCTCCTCCTCCTCCTCCACCTCCTCCTCCTCCTCCTCCTCCTCCTCGTCGGGTCGCCTACGGCCCCCGGGGGAAACCGTGGAAAGTGAAGGCTGTTTGGCGGGTGCGGGAACCCAAGCAGCCCCATTGATGGAAGCTGCGAGGGGTGCGAGGCCTATTGGCAGTCCGCACCAGCGAGGCCCCATGACGGTCCTCGCCGAGGGGAGGGGGGAGAAGGAGAGGTGGGGCGTAGCGACGATGCCGTCCACGATGCGTCCTGGCCCCGAAGGCAAACACACAAAAACGGCAATTACACAGTTCCGACTCCGAATTGGGTGGGCCCTACGCCCGTGATATCCCGCGGGGGGGGGGGGGGTAACGAGTGCGCACGCTCACGCTCTGGTGCCAGTTTGTCGGACTGTTGCGCCGCCCCCCGGGGCGGAACAAACGTGCCCCCCCCCCAGGGGCAGACCGAGGGCCCCGGGGACAGCTGCGCCCCGCCGAGGGCTTTCCCGAGGATGGGCGGACATCCCCCGAATCAGTCCACCACTGAAGGCACAAAGCTCAGGTCGGGCATGTCCCCCTACAGGCGGATTTTGGACGAACAAAAAACAATACCCAAGACATATCCGATCATAGTCAAGCATAGTCCAAACATCGTCCCCACTGAATATTCCTCCTGTAGAGGGACACGCCCGACTTAGCACCACGCCCACGACGCTACACCCGAGTCCAGGGCAGACGCCATCGGCCACGCGGTCGGGACACGAAGGCTTGCACCAAGTATGTAATGCAGTCCTTTGTTATCCCCCCTCGCGCGGGGGGGGAATGTATGGGTCGAGTGGCGCAGGAAAGGTTCGTCCCGCCGCGACGGAAAGACCCCAGGACGATGACGAGGACGATGGAAACGGGCGAGGGGGAGGAGTCAAGCTAGGTGCGCAATCGTCATATCTGACATCCTACCCCTCCCTCCCACCCCTTACCATTGCGTAGGTCTTTTCTCTATTCGCACAGTCGGATGTCGAACAGGGCAATGATCCTGAGAGAGTACGCGATGCATGG